AGCGGGGACAACTTACGCCTTTCTGCTCCAACACTGACTGACAGCTGACACTCATTCACACTCACCACTGCCCCAGGGCCGCTACCATATGCTATTTACAGAGATAGCACTGGCGATCTGAACCGGTCAGTGGCGAAAAAAAGCACTTTTATACGGGACGCATTTGCCCCCATTACCGTTTTAGCTTGTTTCGCGGCTCAATACTGAACCAATTTTAGAACGAGTGGTACCCATGAATCATACGCACACATACACATGGGGAAATAGAGCCCAGGTTGAAAAATACCGAAGTTGTCCTTTATATGTGAAAATTTGCTGCTTTTCTTTTTTTATTTATCAGAATAAATTTGGGTTTTGCACTGTTGATTGGACATTTTTCACATTTTTTTGACATTTTATAGAATAAACAATTAATTGATTAATTGTCACTACAGATAAGCAGATTATTTATGATGAAAATAATGGCTAGTTTTAGCCCTAACAGCGGCACAGTGGTGCAACATGCTCACAGTGGCAATGCTATCATGCTGATATTTAACAGGTATGATGTTTACCATCTTGCTTGTTAACTTACTAGCATGCTAATTTTTTTTAATTAGCACTAAACACAAAATACAGGTGAGGCTGATGAGGGGGTCACTAGTTTTGCAGGTTTTTGGTCATAAACTGAAGTATTCAATGAAATATCATTAACCTGATGATGGCGCTAGAGGAAACATTAAAGGACGTCCAAAGTTATCTGAATATCTGAACTAAATTTCATGGCAATACATCCGATAGTTGATGAGATATTTTAGCCTGGACCAATGACTGTATATAAAGATGGACAATGCATCTTTACTTCCTCCCATTGTACAAAGACGAAGCCAAAATATCCCGAAAAGGGCGCTGCTTTCTTGTGCTGGTGACATCATTTGAGAGAGAGCACCAGGGGCTGCACAGTAGGGATCAGGAAGTAGAGTTGCGGTATGGAGTTCCCGCCTAAACTGTTGATCCTGAGCACACACATCTGTCAATAATGATGTCACTTCCCCTTTTTATAGCACCAAATAAAGCACCTTATAGCACCTTATTAAAACAGTTGAACATACACCAGTGTTACCTCAAATGAAAAATAAAACATCTTGGGGGGGGGGGGGGGGGGGGGTGGGGATTGACATGAAGCCACCTAAATTTTCTAGTTTGGCCCATGTCGTATCTGCTAACATGTAGGGGGCGGGCTTTATGGCCTATACTGCAGCCAGCCACCAGGGGGCATCTAACTGTTTTCACTTCACTCTTGGGGGAGCCATCATGTCGTCCATCTTTACTACACAGTCTATAGTTTGGACCAAAGTATTGCAACGACCACAACTGCTATCCCTAGAGCCACTAGCACGGCTAAAATGTTCAGAAAGAACATGATGTCACTGCTCAGGAAGATGTGAAAGCAGCTAATTAAACATGATCTAGTGTCTGTGCTTTGCTGACACCAACAGTTCTTTGCAGTCACTCTGTGGTTTTATATATCTCTTATTTTGACACAGAAACCCTGTGTTTATTTGACTTGTGTTGACAGTGTAAAACTACTGCAGATTCTGAGAGCTGTCACACAGTAGGTGTAGAGTACGGTGCCACAGTATACGACACATAACGTGACGCATTCGGAAACTCGACCCTCCTTCTCGCTTTGTGGTCTGCAGCTCACTCCACAGCTGTGGGTGGCAAAACAGTTTGACACAGCGCAGACGTCGATGGGAATCGGTGCCATACTCTGAGTCTGAGTATAATTATTTTGCTCATTAGTTTACACTCCTCTCATTCTCTGTAGGTCAGTGAGAGCGAGGCAGTCAAAGACAATGCATCATCTCCTTCACTCCCTCTTTGGCTCTCACACCACTTCACTTCACACAACCGTCTGACTGGCAGCTCTTCAGCTCGCACAAAAAGGGCTGCACAAAGAGATGAAAATGAGACGTTCTTTGACAGGACTATTGTAAACACAACACAGACGGGGAAGTGATGAAGGTTTGCAGGACAAAAGGCCCCCCGGGCACAGACATGCTAAGGCCCCACCACCTCTACTACACAGGAGCGAGACACAGACTGTGGTGGTTTCACCTCTTTTTTTCTTCGTTCGTTTTTGTTGTTGTTTGGCATCTCTTTGTAGTTGTCATGCATATTTTTGTGGTTTTGTGTCTCTTTGCAGTTGTTTTTGACTTTGAGGTAATTTTGTGTCTTTTCAGAATCAGAAATATACGGACACTTTTGATTTTTCACAAACATGAAACACATTGGAGACGGCTTATGGTAGTAAAATGAACATTCCGTTCACAGCCAACAGCTCCGGTCACATTCCTGCAATCAGCATGCCAATGGCACGCTCCCTCAAAACTTGGGACATCTGTGGCATTGTGTTGTGTGATCAAACTGCACATTTTAGAGCCGCCTTTTATTGTGACCATCCCAAGGCACAGCTGTGTAGTAATGATGCTGTTTAATCAGCATGTTGATAGGTCACACCTGCCAGGTGGATGGATTATCTTGGGAAAGGAAAAGTGCTCATTAACACTGATTTTAACAAATTTGTGACCCAAATTTGAGGGAAATAAATCGACTGAGTGTATAAAAAGTCTTCGATCTTTAACTTAAACCTGTGAAAACAAAGTGCTGCATTTAAATGTTTGCTTAGCAGACTTTATTGATCTTGAGGAGGCGGATTTTCTGGTTATTTTGTGTCTCTATGACATAATTTTGTGTCTTGTTGCAGTCTATTTTCATCTCTTTGTGGTATTTTTGTGTCTCTTTGTGGTCAGTTTAAGTCGTCCGGGTCGGTACATGTTCATTTGAGTGACATTTTTAGGTGAAGACTAGAGGGGCCCTGACACTGGTCCTGTGCCTGGTAGGCCTGTTAAGTAATCCATCCATGGCAATAGCTTAACAGTTCTTATTCGCACATCCAAGTTTTTCTATTTCTGCACAAATGACCCAGATTAACGTGTTAACACATTTTATTTTAAGCCATGCAGGTACCATCTGAGGTGTGTGAAGGTTTAGCCCCTAAAGATGAACCTGTGAAATAAAAATAGGTCATGTCAGTCAAAGGAAACATATGCATGATGAGACTTTATGTGTGCAGCTTGTTCGTGTACCTATCCATGTCTCGCCGATTGTATCCGCTGTCCATTTCTGCGCGGATGATTCCTGCACAAGTGGGTCCAGATTTCAACTTTTCATAACCAGCATTTTTACAGAACCTGGAAAATAAAGTGGATATTTGTCAACCACACAGGCGCTCGAAGAATATCCTGTATACTTAACATTATTGGACATTATTAAACACACTTACGTGCTCCTATACTGTGTAGTAAAGTGTGAACAATCAAAAGGTGTGTTAGGGAAAGCATGGATGTTTGGAGCATTGAGAAGAAACCCTGTGGGCTCCTAGAAAACACAACAACAGACTGAAAACAGCAGCTCCAAACACAGACAGAGGAAATATTGATTGAAGCAAAAACAAAACAAACTACAAGATAAAAATATATAACCTTGTTTCCAATTGTCCTCTCAGTTGGTGCACTACTTTTAGTCTGGGGTGATGGCAGAGGGGAGGTCTGGAAGAGCAGAGGGAAGGATGTTGATATCATTAATATCTGAAGCACTTGACTGGAAGGGGGTCGATACTCACTGGGCAGCCCGGGGGAGCGGTGGCACCTCGAGTGAATCCTGTTTCTCTGGAAAAACGGCTGCAGCTCAGGCTCGGACTCGCCTCAGTGCCCTTCAAACACAAAGTACAAAAAGACACAGTTAAACCTGGAAGATGGTGGAAAATAATTTTACAAACTGCATCCTTTGAAAAGAGAGTTCAGAGTGGATTCTGTTCTGTGGGTCAACCTTTAGAAATGACGGCGGCATGAAGTCATTTTTCATCACTGAGCCGTGAGTCTGCAGAGGTTCAACCTGAAGGAAATAAAAAGTGACAGAAGAGGGGGGAAGACAGACCACACAGAAATAAGTGGTGTACCTGCCATGTAACCATGTGATGCAAACTGTAGTAATAGTATTGTATGTCTGATTTATTTTACAAGAATTACTTTTCACAAAACCTACCCAACAGCTTATCTTCTCCTGAAATGTGTTTAGTCGAAGGTCTGTTCCCTCAGTGAAACCACTCTCTTCTTTTGGACCTACAGTCACATGATGCACAGAGACTGAAAGAAGCACAACAGTGTAAATGCACCATTTAAAAACAAACCCCGACAGGTCATCAAGTTTAAGTTCTTTATTGTCACCTGCAGAATAATTACAGTGAAGCATTTCATTGGTAATTAAATTCTTAGATCTCAGGATCTCTCTGACAATGCCACTACAAATATGTATAAAAAGATCAAGTACGTGAAGTCTAATTAGAAACAAGACAGAAAATAGAGCAGCAAAGTATATGAATACAAAATAATGGACTGCACCTGTATAGCGGACAACCCATTCTACCTTCTGAGCCACAGCCGCCACATTACATGTGGTTTGTCTCCTACCTAATCGATTCCTTTTTTTCATGTCTTTAAAGCTGTAGTTGGTAAATGTTATCATTAATTAAAAAGCTTATCAATAAAATCATGTTTCTCCTTCTTGTAATGTTTCCAATGACATTTGCTATAATTACAAAAAACAACCAATCAGAGTCGAGGAGTCAATGTAGCTGTCAGTCATGTCAATCACTGCCCGTGATCTGCGGCCATCAAACTAGGCAGTGCTGATCAAATATGAATCAAGACTCTGTTATTGCATTGCCTATTTCTCCCCTCACATATTTTAGTGCACTGTTTAGCTGTGAAATGAGAAAGTTTGTGTCCTGGTTGCCATGTTGGAAACAGCTGAGTGAAGCATCAAGCATCTTTCACTGGCCAGAGCAAACTATCTCATTTTACAGCTAAACAGTACACTAAAATAATTTTAATTTTTAATTAATTTAATTTAATTTTATATACTTTATTAATCCCCCTGAGGGGAAATTCAATTTTTTCACTTTTTTTTTTTTTGTCATTAACGCACAGGTCCAAAAGACACACACATATGTTTTTGAAATCACCTGAGGGTGCTTTCAGACCTAGAGTTGTCTTGCTTTGGCCTGAATCAGGGACGGATTTTGTTACAAAGTTGCATAATTGCCTAGAGTTGGTTCGCGTTCTCACAGCAGCATTTACAAGCGGACCAGATAAAATGCCTTGTGAGAGAAAGCTGCTCTTGATTGGTCAGAATTTCCATGCGGGAAAAATCCAGGAAGTAAACAAAACATTGAAGAAGAGTACACTTGATATTAGTGCTGGTCATGGTGGACTATATTGCTGTCATTGTTCATTTTAGTCAAACAGTCAAAACATACAGTTTGAAAACGAGGCGCGGCTCCAACTAGAAAACAATGTTTTGATGCATTGGATGTGCTGAATGTGCATATTAAGGCAGTACAGGAGGAGGTGCACATTAATAATCCTCCAGGACTGTAACATGCTCATGTTTAACCCAAACAATGTGTCATGTGACTGCAGTTGGTTCGGATTGAGGTCAGAACACGTTCTCACCACAAACAAACTGCACCAGAGTTTGTTTTTAACCGGACTGAGACCACCTCTTCAAGCAGGTCTCGGTCTGGTTGTTTTGGTGCACACCTGAGTGCGATTGCTGTGTTAACACCTGCCCAAACAACCACACTTAAAGGGCAAACGAACTTGAGTTTGATTGACTCGAACCAAACAAGGCAGGTGTGAAAGCACCCTGAAGTGAGAAATGGGCAATGCAGTGGCAAAATCTTTGTTCATATTTGATCAGTGCTGCCTAGTTTGACAGTGTGAATGCAGTTCATGAGACATGATTGACAGCTGTTAAAGACCCCTCGGCTCTGATTGTTTTTTTTTCCATTAGCTGCAGTATAATCCAGCAAATGCCATTAGAAGCATATGAAAAGGCAGAGAAACATGTCTCATGTAATGCTGTGTGGATTTAGTTCAGTAAATATGACAAAAGTTATTTTCATAAAAGTTACTAACTACAGCTTTAAACTTTAAACCCACATGAACTATTATTTTACCTGTAGGTGTGAGCCGATGTGGCACAAACAATCTCTGGTACTCTGTCTGAGGAGAAATATTCATGGAGACAGATAATTAGGACTTTACCACTCAGTATTTATGCACATGTGATGCTTCTCAACATCTCTTGAGTGTTGTTATCTTTCCGCGTCCTACCTTTTCCTCCACAGCCGCTGTCTTCGGACGACTCCTCAACTGATGGAAGCCGCTGTCTCTGGGTTTGTTAATGAGGTTTGGCAAAGACCCCGAACAATCAGACTGGATGTGATGCTGGTAGTGTCGTTGAGTTTGAGACACGAAGCTGTCAGATAACAGGAGTCTGCAGACAAAAACAACACACCTGTGTTTGAGGAAACAGGCTTTTTGAAGCGTGAGGGGAGCATTCATTTTATTTATCACAGTCAGTTTAATCAGTTCAGGAAGTTGGTTTACACAGAAACACAGACGAACTTGTGTTCTTGTATGCATCAGTTCAACCAGTTTACAAAAATATGTGTGCTTTATTGTCTCTGGGGGTTTCTGGCTTTAGTTTCATTTGATTAAAATCACCTGTGAATATTTACTATGGGTGTGCAGGGCTGTGAAGACATCCCTCTCTGGGATTTCTGTCTCCACTCCAATACAAGAGGTCAAGAGGGTTGTCTTTGTGGAGCTCATTAAAAGAAGCAGCAGCAGTAACAGTAGCTATATAACAGAGACTTTTCCTTTGGTAGAAAGTATCACAGTAACACAGAAAAATCTGTACATTAACTGGATTAACAGGGACATTGTTATTAGGGACACAGGTGATTTTAGTTATTTTGATTGATTAGGCCTGCAGGTGAGGTTAACTGGTGACTCTAAATTGTCTGTAGGTGTGAACGTGAGCGTGAATGGTTGTCTGTCTCTATGTGTCAGCCCTGTGATAGTGTGGCAACCTGTCCAAAGTGGGGGGTAAAAGCACAGGTGTTGCAATTAACACAAACAATGGCTCTGTTCTGTTCAAGTGTCCCAGTAAGCCATGGCAATGGATGAGTTTCCACCCAAAAGTGGCGCAAATTTTAACCAAATTATTAAATAATCTGCTAAAGAAAATATTGATGTATTAACATTTTCCTTCACAATTATGCAAATATTGGGAGCTGGTTCATCAAGACAAGCAGCTAATTATCCAGTCAGGTGCGACTGCAGACAAGGGTGCACAAGATGGCATAATTAAAAGAGCGGAGTCAAACCTCAAACAAAGAGAGATGTGTATAGCTGCAACCACATTCTGTTTGAAGTCTACATGACACACCTCTACAAACCGTGTCCACCACCAGTGCAAGACAAACCCGCCAACACAACAGTTATATGAACCCTGCTTCAATGCCACATTGTAGTGAACAAATATGAGGCCAAATGAAGCAGTAATCAACTTTATAATTCATTATACATGAAGATGTGATTCACCTCATGAGTAACAAGATGTAACCATTCCCATCACCCTTACCTTAACTGCCTCTCTGTACCCTAACACGTCTACCTAAACAATAACTTAGCATTTTCTTCCGCTTTTGGACCAAGGAGTGAAAGGGTCTGATCGTTTAATGATGGTGGGTGGGTCACATAGCTCATACCATCTCAAATGAAGGTGAACAATAGATGTATAATAACAGAGCAAACACTTGACTGTAGAAACACAGTTTTGAACAAGTAAGATTACAGCTTTTTGCTCTTCTGGTAGCAGCCCTGCGTGCGCACAGAGGTACGTCATGACTGTGCGTCATCATTTATTCACTAAATCTGTTTCCATTGGACTCATTTATGTTTTTTCAATACACCAACTATTTCACCTCCCCTGAGTGTAAAAAGTGAGCCAGCATGCACAGTACAGCCAGGGATCCTGACATCAAAGCAGCTAAATGAAATTGGGCTGTCAACACTGGTAGTGTTTACACCTGTGCTTTTCCTGCTGAGACATGTTGTGATTTGGCTGAACTGTGAACCTCCTCATTTTGCACTTCCATCTTGCTTATTTTTACAAAGCGTTTGGTATTTCATGTAATCTCCAGCATAAGGGCAGTTACACATTAGCAAATGCACGCCAGTGGCCGTTGCCTGGCGAGGCAATATTTGTGCTGAGTGTGGGCAGTGCCATGTGTGACGCACACAGAGAGCTATCTTGCTTGCTAATGTTAGCTAGCTGGCTCATAATACCATGAAATATGATGTTATTGGTATACATTTTCTTATGCTCCAGGCTGCATCTCTCATGTGGAGCAGTTTGTATTTGCCACTAATATAGTATCGGCTTAATTGATATGGCAACAATCGCTGTGTCCCCTACCCATAATCCTCTGCTGCTGGTTGAGGCTGTGATTTTGCCAGTCAAATTTCACCAAAGCTGAACTACACACTGCAAATATGTGGATTTGCTTTGCTAGCCTACTTTAAGTAAATGTTTTAATACCCCTTCATTAGCCTTCAGTGTTTCGCTCATGTGTAACAGTATGGTCATAGGGTTGGTGTAAATCTGCATCTACTTGGGGCAACAAAAAAGTTTGTCTCAGGTGTGTCGGTGCAATAGACAAACAAGGAGGAAGGGACGACAGAGGACATACTCGCACACCAATGTAACTGGGCTAGAAAGCCACAAAAAAGTCCACGGGCTGAGATCAATGCAAAAATATTTAAATATTATCTATTAAAGACATCTGTGCACAAAAAACAGTGCTCAAAGTGTAAAAAAAAAGATGAAGACTAAGTAAAAACAACAGCAAACATTTCAGCCCTTGAAATCATCAGTGCAGCATTGATGATGATAGTGACAGTATGGTCACACATTGAACTGGCAAAGTCATAGCTTCAACCAACAGCAAAGGATTATGTGTGAAGGAGACAGATTGTTGCTGTGTTTAATCACTCGATACTGTGTGATGTTGGCCATGAAAAATACAAACTGTCCCACATGAGAGATGCTGCCTGGCTGGCAGTGCGTCGGGAGACAGGCATGGAACTTAAGAAGATTGAAAGTGTATCGATGGCATCATTTTTGTGGTATTTATAACCAAGCTGGCTAAAATTAGCTCACAAGCTCGTCACAACCAGCACTGCCTACATTATTGCCTCAGTGATGATCACTCATTTGTGACTGCACCCTTACTCCACCCAGCTTCTATTTGACTAGAGATCTGATCAGACAGGGTGATTGGAAACACCTGTGTGGGGCCTCTAGCATTGTTACAGTCCTCACCTGCTCTGACACTTACCCAAACTGAGGGTTGTCAACGTGATCCAAACATGGCCTGTAATAAATGGCAGGTCTCTGGTTTGATGTGAAGCCTGATCCACTGGGCGGTCTGAGGTAAGAAGTGAAGTTCGCCCTGCCTGGATCTGTTTTGAATCCTAATCAGTGTGATAAAAGTTAATCTGTTTATGCTGATCCTTTCATGTGACATAAAGTTTCCCCCCTCATCACCACTCTCTCACCATATGACGTTCTATAAGACGTGTTGCAGAGTTTGACTGTGTTGTCGGTCAGTCCTCCCCTGCTGCCTGTTGCTCCGACAGTCGGCATGACTATCCTCCCCTGCTCAGCCATCTGTGACTGCTGTAATGGAAACCCTCACTGACAACAGTGATGGATGGCAAAAATCCTCAGGGCATGTGCGCACTGCTGTAACCACAAACAAAAGCAGCATCAGCGTGTAACTCCTTTGTTTTATGGCTTTGACAGAATCCCACAGAAGTCAGAGCTCTCTGAAGAAGTGATTACAGAGTCTGTAATGCAATAAGTGCTCCCTTTATCAAATGCTGTTTGAGTGAGGAGCGAAGCTACAGATATATTTATTTAAACTTGATATAAATGACCCCAGAAAAAGAAAGAAAGCTTCACTTAGACATACCTTCAACTCCAGGCTGTTTGTCCACCTCTCTGTCTTGTGTTGGTTTTGTAGGTAAACAGGTTTCTGTTGCTAAGAGATTCAGCACAAGGGCAGCAACATTACTGCTGCAGAGTGACTAGAGTGAAAGACTGACTGCTTACAGTTAATGTTAGATAATGTTTCTACTGCATCAGGTGTGTTTTATTTCTTACACACCTGCCCCATACAAGTTATTTGATCATGACAAAATAAGACTGAATCCTCTGGATTATTTAATGTTGCAGCGTTTTATGACCAAACACCAAACATGTTCCAAATGTGTTATTTTTATTAAAAAGTGGTTAGCCTACTGTTGCAATAATGTTTTTCCATACAAGTTTGTTTTATTCATATTTGTATTTATACCACTTGGAGCTGTTTTTTAACCACTCAGCCCTTTTATCTTTATGACTGAATGTCTCTAGTAGAGATGAATGAGTACATCATTACCTGTATCTGTGCCTCCGGCAGGGTTTAAACTGTCAGTGGGTGGAGCTTAATCCAGAGATGGGTGGGACCTAACCAGGCTGCAATTTCAGGATTGTTCTTTTAATCCTGAAATTGCAGCCTGTCCTCATTCCAAAGTCGTTAAATACAGCTGCTGTGTTTGTGATTTCAGCATCAGACACCGATGCCAAAAGCCATCTTTCGCTGTGGTATCATATGTTGCTGGTCAGCTGGAGGGCACCTGTTGTTGCTGTATGATATGCCACAGGACAGCGCCAGTGTGAAACGCTGCTAGTAACAGTGTAATATAAGGAGCTGGAAAGTACCTATAAGGTGGGTGGGAGGGACGGAGGAAGGGTTCAACAAACCTCGGACTTTCAGCCGGGAGCCTGGTGTTCGCTTGCCATGTGAATCTAGAGCCAAACGATGATGTCTTTTTCTAAACCTAACCATGAGCTTTAGTTGCTTAAATGTAACCATGTGCTTTTGTTGCTGTCCTGGCATTGGTTGCAGCATCCCGAAACATCAACAGCAGATGCAGGAGGATACCTAGAGCGTAATATTTAGATCTGAAAGTCCACTGACAAAGAGGTGATATGTGACAACTTGGGATGGGAATGAAAATTGGGTTGATCAAACGTTGCTATATTTATTGTTTATCAGAAAAATATCCACAGAAAAATCTCAGGATTGAGCTTTAGATCATTTTTGATTACAGGAGTGAGAGATTGAACCAACTCCCAAAATGAGGATTTCCCTTCGTCATAAATACGAATAATGAAACATTTTTACTCACATGATACTTGTACTTGTCAAAAGTACAATATCTGTACAGGATACTTTTTTCATCCGATTATTCAGCTCAGGCCTGCTGTATCAGTATCAGTTGTGTTATATGTGATAATAACGATCAGCCTCCAGTAATTTCTAATCTACTTGTGTGTTTGTTTTTAGTCCTAAACTCAATTATGTTAACTTTTTTTAAACAAACAATAATGACTGCAGAAGTACATCATGAGGTACACTGTGTATCACTACCTCTGGTTGTGAATCACCAGACTACCCACTGTTTGACCACATATTGCTAATTCAGAAGAGCACTTTACAACGACAGAACACCTTGTTCTCAAAAACATAAACAAGTGAATGAATCAATGTGTTTATATACCAGAAACCAGTTATGGATGCATCACAGTTAAAGCTGTTGACAACTACATTAGTAAGTATTTACTTACATATAGATAACAGTGTGTTATATACATTTATTAAATGTTTATATAATGGTTAGAAATGCTAAATAGAAGGGCCTAAAGTGTGGTGCACAACACTATGGTATAGTGTGAGTATTGTGATAGACATATATGTAATATAGTTTTTATATATGTCTTGTACATACATCCAAACTAAATACCTTGATATATATTTGATGTATATTGTATTTATTATTCATATTTATACCTGTATTTATGTTATGTACGGTACACCCACATGACCTGCCTGTTTTCCCTGACTTGTTTTACTCCAATGTGTCACTGAACTACCTTAAAATAATTATTTCTGCACGCATATTTTTGCACAGCTCCATATATATATTTATGTAAGGTATTTTACAACAATCAGCCACAACACTGAAACCTCTGATAGGTGAAGCATTTAACACTGATCATCTTGTTACAGGCCATTGTTCTGCAGGGAAACCTCAGGTCTTGGCATTCATGTGGATGCCACTTAAGACACCTCCCACCCAGACACCGTTGCAGGCCAAGTACCTCCCCCTCATGGCAGCGGCACTCCCCTATGACACTGCCCCCCCCCCACAGCAGAACAATGAGCCAAGAACATAACAAAGAGCTCAAGGTGTCGACCTGGCCTCCAGATTCCCCAGATCCCAATCCGATCGAGCATACAGGACCTTCCGGTACCCCATTTTGCAAGCCACAGGACTCAAATGTTCCACAGCCAACGCCCTAAGAGGCCCTGTGTCCATGCCTTGACAGGTCAGAGCCAAATCCAAACCAAGGAGGACCCACTGTGGATTGGACTTGACTCTGGGGTGCCTGCAAGTCCTACAGATGCTCAGTCAGATTGGGATCTGGAAAATTTGGAGGCCAGGCCGATGCTTTGAGCTCTTTGTCACATTCCTCAGGCTGTTCCTGATCAGTTTTTGGTGTGGTAGATGTGTTTGGAAAGGTGGAGCATGTCAAGGTGTCATCTACATGAATGCTAACACCCAGGGTTTACCAGCGGAACACTGACCTGTAACAAGATGATCAATGTTATTCACTTCACCTGTCAGTGGTTTTAATGTTGTGGGTTATAAGTGTATATAATACATATCTGATAGTTCCTTATCTGTCCTATGAGGTACATATTGTAAAGCCTTTTGAGTCAAATTTGTGATTTGTAAATAGAACTGACTTACATTAAATTTTAGCTGTGCAGCTTTCTTACCAAACATCCTCAGCAGACTGGACAGTTTCTCCATGTGTCCATTGGATGGCAGTGTGATGCCACAGTGGCTGTAGTTTCTGTCTAGCCCAGAAAAGATGTAAGGTTATGTAAAAAAAAAAAAAAAAAAAGAAAAAAAAGGAAAGATGGATGGCTTGAAATTTGCATGACATCTTGATAAAAAATGTCCATCCGAGACAGGGAGTTATCATCCACCGCTGTTAGCAGGAGAAAATGTCCGTACACCATCTATACATCTGTACACATGCATCTACATGAGCGCCTCTATTTAATCTGGAGGATATTCAGCTCCTGGTGTATTTAGGACATCTGGAGAAACAGTCTGAGCTGGACATCAGTGTCATTTTTCCAGATTAAGATACAGATACATATTCTTACTAATTAAGCACAAACAGGAGGATTTTTGCATCAATTAAAGGTGTAAAAAAGAGATATTTATACAGAACCTGTGCATTACATCAGTGTGAACACTTCAAACAGTGTGATTTTCTTCCCTGTTTCATTATTAGGTGGGAATTACAGTATAAAATCTATCTGGGGTTTTTCCATGACAACCTGACCACCCCGTGGATCACTAAATCTGACAATGGATTGTCGTCACATCATCTCCACACACACTCCTTTAATTCTCACTTCCTATTCCTTCTCTTTCCATCTCATTTCCTTGGACTCGCACTGCATCTTCACCTCTGTCACATCCCTTCTTGCTCCCTCCATCTGTCCAAACGCTGGCAGTCGGAGGAACCTATCTTTACCAAGCTGTTGCTTGTGTTGCACAGTCTCTCTTGCTTGACGTGCTGTCGTGCCAAGCCTGAGACTGTTCATTATCTTCTCCAAAAAATAACTACAGGGAAACGCCTGCATCATTGGAACTGACAGTCTCATTTCCTGCTTCTTTTCTCTTAAACACAATGTGCACATTATTGGCATTTCTAATTATAAACTCACAGGATGCATACAGCAGCAATAGACCGGGCGCCGATTTTCATTCCACTCAAAAGATTACACCAGATGATTTCGCTTATTATAACAACTTCATCCAGAGAGTCAGAGAGGAGTAACTGATCAGTGGAAGCACCTGCTGTACTCTGTTTGAAATGAAAAACCTGCAGACTCTCCACATGATTGTTCATCTCTTCAGTACAGCAATCTGCGTTTGTTCTGCATCTGCATAATTCACGTTACATGACTGAGATGTAGCCAGGCTCAGTTATATAGGCCAGATTCTTCATCAAATTGACAGTAATACTGGGGAAATAAAAAGATAAAATGCTGCACCTTCTGCAACAGTTTACACTTGAGACAACACTTTGAATACAAAGGGAGCTTAAAAGACGAGAAAAAAGGTGGGTGCAGTGGGTCTAAAAATAGATGGAGGTGATGCAAGCACGGGTCTCCCGTCGAGTTGATGCACTTGGCTCGCCTGCAGCCGTCTGTTGTAGTTCAGGGAGGGACGAAACCTCGGCCCCTGTCTGCAGGAGCTCGGCTGGCTCGCTGCTCGTCTGCGTTTCCTGCCCAGCTCTGATACTCTGCTGCACCGGGAGGAGAATCTCGATGGTTTCTCTGTCGGTTCAATAACCTGTTTCTGTGTCTGCCATAGAATAGCATGGAATTAATATTTAGAGGGACATAAAGAGACAGCTCAGGCGCTAAGACCCCTCTTTGTGTGTCAGGTCTCAGAGGTGCTCTCTCTGCTTCACCGCCTCACTGTTCTGGGTCTTATCTCCTTCCTGCTTCCTTTTTGACTTCTGTACTTAATAGGCAAATCTGGCACGGACGGTTTGGAGTAAATTGCATTGTCATCTTTTTCCATTTCGAGTTTCAGTCAGCTTTGGTGCGTGTAATGCTAAGGAGGCAGGCTGAGATGAGCAGAGGGGGATTCAGGAATAAAATTAGACATTTTAAGCCCAAACCTGTACAAGACAGGATATCCCGTAACCTGATGGGAAGCAGATTAAATTAAAGGCAAACGATTCCACTGTCATGTTGATGCTGCGAGATATGCCTTTGAATGTTTGATGTGTGATGGACTGAAGCTGAAACACACACAGCTGTTGGACTGAAGTCAGAAGTGAAGCAAACTGTATGAACAATGCAAGCGCTAATTAATGAGAAAATCTGTCGTCATCCTTGAAAGTGGGATGAAAGATTCCCTCAGAGTGTAACATGTAGCTGTGCGATTCATTTACCTTCATGCTGACTAATGCGCTGCTCAGAGCAGACGCTTTCCATTATACATTTTTAATTGCACTCAAAGGCAAAAACAACCTTTGCAAATTGCAGCCTCTATCAGCTCGTGGTGGAACATGTTAAACTGGAATGGTGTCATTCCAGGTTCTAATTATTTATATTGCAGTTTAATTACACTATTTGTGTATGTGTGGTGAGTTGGATTTAAAAAAATAAATAAATAAAAATAAAAAACAGAGATACACCATGTGGTGACAAGTATGTGGACGCCCCCTGTTCACATTTTGTTGTGGAA